GGCCACACGAGGCACGAAGGACCTCATGATGATGGTCGTGAGCGTTCTCTTCAACACCTTGGGCAGTTTTCTCTTCAGACGTGCTAAGAGGAAAGACCACGTGTTTTCATCGGTTGATTCCACATGTAGTGAGGAAGTATGGAGATTTCTCAGGAACCTGAGGCTGCAGAGAAACGCCTCGATGTTGTGGGGGTCTCCCTGCCGTGTCTGTTCTGCCCGTGTTTCTGGATCAAGTGTGAGGAAGTGGACTCGAGAGGAAGGAGCTGGGGTCTCCAAGCCAGGACATCTGGGTTCCCTGGCTGCCCTCATGACTTTCTGCTTGACCTTGGCTCCTGTCACTGGGCCATAGTTTCCCCACCTGTAAAACGAGGGGTTGAACCGGATGACCCGTAAGGTCCTGCTTAGCTCTTAATGTCTGTGAGTCTAGGTCAGGTGGAGAAGGAAGACCAGTCAGGACTCTGGTCCTTTTGAAACGGGCAGAGAGTTAGCCGTTGATGATTAAGTAGCTAGGAACTAAAGTGTTTTCCCTTTTGCAACTACTGATGGTAGCTTTTAGCTGTTTAACCCGCCCATTGCTAACCGTGCTGTTTAGGCCATATGCTCTCTGACTCCCACTAGGCTCCTACAGATAACATCTCCCTGGAGCCTGGGTCACCATGGTCATGGGTGTGGGAGCTGTTCTTCAGGAATTACAACTCCTTGTCCACTCCAGGCTGGTTGAGACAAACCAACTGATAACTGGGCCCACACAGATGTCCGATAGGTGACCTTTTGACGTCAAGAGGCTAAAAACTCCACCCTCAGATCATACTAACACTGCCATTTTGTGAGCTAGGGTCCTGTGGAGAGGCATGAAGTCTGACTACGCTTGCGCAGACCATCAGTTACCTTACCTCTCCTCACCTCCCATCACCTCTCTCCACATTTCAGACCACCTTGACCGCATTCCATAAACACCCGAGTCCCTATTTTCGGGGAAGTGGATTTGAGGCTCATGCTCTCGCTTCTTCACATGGCTGCCTTGTGAGTAAACCCTCTCTCTGCTGCAATCTCGTCGTCTCGGTGTTTGGCTTTCTGGGCGGTAGGCAAAAACAGATTTGGGTTGGTAACACTGTTCCTGCCTCTGCCATGACTCACTGGGTGACCTTGGGTAAGTTCCTCCTTTGCGGTGGCCCTGTTTCCCATTCTTGAACACCCTACGTCCTGTAGGGGGCTGTATGAAGGGTGGCACGGAGTAGGGCTCTCTCAGAGCCGGGATTCAGGCGGCCTGCTCCTCAGCAGGCTCACCAGTGGGGATCCAGGCACCCTAAAACTCCAGCCTGGGACTAGCCTTCCAGTGAAGCCTGTGGGTCCAGTCCTCCCCGTTTCAGACCCCACACGCAGTCACATGGCCTCAGGCCTCCCCACCCTGTTTTGGCCCTCTTGCCCTTGCTCCGTCTTCCAGATCTAGCAACCAACATGGACACGCCTTGGCCAAAATGTTCAATTCTGCAAAAGCCTCATAGAAGCCTGTTCTGAGCCAACAGGAAGGCCTGATGGTGGGTGGGACCTTGAGGAAGCAGGTGCGACTCCCGTCCTCAGGCACCTCATGGTCTGGTGTGGGGAGGAGAGGCTAGCGTGAGCATACACCCAGTCCCGAGAGAGGAACAGCGTCCTCAGCATAGAAAATAGGACAAGAGGATTTCATGTCTGGGGTCCAGGAGGGGGGACCTTGGAGGGGGAGGATCTGAGATGGAGCTGCAGGCTGAGGGCCCAGTGTGGTGGAGGAAGTTTACGGGGTCCAGGGGGAGGCGGGTGAGGAGGCTGGAAAGAAGCATGGGGCCAAATCTTCATGGGCTGTCATGGCTGGAGGGGGAGCCGGGGCTGGGGAGGCAGTCAGGCTTCTACATTACTCAGGAACCTTTTGGTTGCGACTGATGGGAACCAAGCTTGAGCTAACATAGGCAAAAAGGGTGGTTTATTGGGGGAACTGAGAATCTGAGGGAGGCATGAGCATCCTGACACAGGAAGGACCAGGGTGCTGCTGGCCTTCAGGAGCAGCTGACCAGGAACTCACACACCATCAGCACCCATCTCTTGACCCTGTTCCTCTCCGTGTTGGCTTCATTTCTCTCTTTCGTGGCTGACTTTCGTGATTCTCTACAGGAAGGAACCCTGGGGAAGGGACTTCCTGGCCCAGCTCAGGTCAGGTTCCCACCCTTGGATCCATCACCTGCGGCCAGAAGCTGGGGTCCCGTGGGGACGGGGCTGCTCTGTTACTGTCTGCATAAGGCAGGGGAGGGCAGCTTCTGACAGAAGGGATCCTGCAGAGCAGGTGACCCTAGGACTGTCCCCTCGGTTTCCGAGCAGAGGAGTATGGCCTGATCTGACCTGCATTTTGGGAAAAGCAGCCATTAAAGACAGTTTTTTTCCTTTTATTCATAAAAACAAATTTGCAACAGTTTATTAAAAATTGATACCATGCAAGAAGGGTACGAGAAAGTCCTCATTTACACTCGATTCTGGCAGTTCCAGTCTAATTTAAAGCGTTTGTGCATTAACATCACTGGAAAGCGCCTTCAGGCTGAAGCCTCTTCGGAAATGTACGGTGTGTTTGCTGCGTATAAAAGAACAGGACCGTTAAATAGCTAGAGTCACTTCTGTGGGTCTTGTTATTTGTGGGGAGATTTAAAAAAACGGGTGAACCTACAGTATCATTAAGACAGAGAATGTACTTCGCGGGTTAACCTAAAAGGGCTGCACGCTCAGGAGTCACAACGGGTTACGGACGCACACGCACCGCTGACTGTCCGATGCTTTGTTTTTTTTCCTGCTATGCTGGAATAATATTTCTACAAGTATTTTGTGTGTGTGCGTGTGTGTGTGTATATATTATGTACAATGAATTATCTCTTTCCCTTTGAAAAATTAATGTGGTCCTTTAAATTAAATCTGGTTTTGGTGAAATCAAGAAAGCAAGTAAATACTGGTAATACACAGTGAGTGACAACACCGATTTTTAGTGCCTAAACAGACAATGACTTCAACTTGACCTGTGATGTGTTAACATTTTTTTTTTCCTAAAAGCTACAGTACCTCCATAACCTCTCTGGGGGGAGGGGAGGGGAAGCTATGCTACGTGAAACAGGGTGTTTGAAATGTTGGCGATGGTAAGACTCCCGTGGGCCCTTTTGTCAAAGCCGGGTGGTGACAGCAGTACATTCCTGACCCCAGTGCTCTGGGAAGAGATTATTGCCTGCCTGTGGAAGCTGCCGTTAGGTTTCTTTAGGGAGTGAGCGACTGCTCAGTTGTGCAGACGTCCCGGACGTTGTGATTCAGGCCTTTCTTTAGCGAAGAATGAACCTGTCTAGGAATGTCACAAAAGTCATCAGGAGCCTCTCTCCAGCCGGCTGATCCTGGCAGAGGGCTGTGCTGGGTGCTTCTCTGGGCCACACCCCCGGCTGTCGGGAGGGCCAAAGGTCATGGTCATCCTGATACCTCACGGGTCGGGGCCGCTTCACTGTTTGGTGTGAAGCTGTCCTGGACGAGATCAAGTTCTGATCCTCAGAGTGACCCTGTGAGGTAGGCAGCACAGGTGTTATTTCAACCCCAATTTGTTAGAGAGGGGAAACTGAGGCTCAGAGAGACACTAGTGACTTGCCCAAGGTCACAGAGGGAGTCAGCAGCGGAGTGAGGCCTTGAACCCAGGTCTGACTCCCAGGCCGGTGCTCTTTGGGGTTTAGTTAAAAGGGAAGAGTGATCTTATGGATGAGAACCACTGTGCTGACGGATCACCCCCGTGACCCCCAAGGGCAGAGCTCACCAGCGTGTCTGGATGGAAGACTGCCTTCTGGAAGCCAAGGGAAGCCCTCAGCTAGCAACTCTCTCCCCTACACTACAGGGATCTCTTCCAGCAGAATGCCCCCGATTCACTTTGGTCAAAAACAAAGTCAGTGGAGAAAAAAAACAACCACCCCGCCAGCCCTTGGGCCCTGATGAGAGAGGTTAAAGTGCACACTCTTTCTTTATCGTGTTTGCTGGGAACAGACACTCCACGATGAGCTCGGGTGGTCCCCCTTATTACTGGGAACACCTGATACGAACACAAGGACATGGCCAACGTGGTGGGTGCATGGCCGACTTCCGGTGAATGCTGCAGAGCGTGTCTGCAGTGACGTGCCCTAAATCCCCACGGTCCCGGAACGGGTGTTATTGTGTTAATGTGTGGCATTTATCAGAGAGTTCCCACTGAGAGGCGTTCGAGTCAGCCTGCTCTGGGACCCCAGCCCTTGGGCCCTGGCCGCCGGCCCCAGAGCTGCGCCTGGCTGCCCTTCCTGCTGACTCCCCGTTCCAGAAAGGCCGGGACTGGCTGGGCTGGCAGCTGCCCACCTCCTTCCCCAGAGGGGAGAAGGGCTGGCCTGGGGGGCCACAGCCAGTGATGGTGTGCAGAGGCAGAGGTGGTGTCTCTAGAAGCCCCTCGCCTCTTCTCAAGGCTGCTCGGGGCCACTCAACGACTTCCAGCTGGAGTTCTAGTGACCCTCTCCTTGTCTAGGATTCTTTTTGTTTTTGCAAAGTTTCAAATACCCCAGCTCCTCCTTCTTTGCAGACATTAAAGAAGAAGTCATTTGCATCCTCTTCTTTGTGAAAGAATAAAAACTTCACAATAAGGCGCGAGGTCAGGTGCCAAGTGCCCCTGCCCGTCCACCAACGTGCCATCCGAGCAGTCCCGCAGGGCCGGCCGTGGCGCCCAGCTTCTCCGCAGCCAGAGCCCACAGTGTCCCTGTTGCAGACGCCTCTGCTCCGTGTGGTTCTGTCACGGGGGAGGCCCCAGCCCCAGGCCTCCTACCCTTACAGGCCCGAGACCATAACTCGGAAGGAGGGTGGCACGTGTCTGTGGCGGGGGCTGGCGGTGGGGCTGACGCAGGGGCTGACACAGCTGGCGTCCACGCCTCCAATGGACGGGAGGTAGGCGTGGTGGAGGATGGGGAGCTGGAGGGACAGCCGGCGCTGAATGCTGTGGCAGGGAGAGAGAGAGAGACGAGTGTTAGTGAAGGCTATCTGGCCGCTCACCAGAAAGTTCCTTGGACTCGCTTTGGCTAAGAAGCTGATGGGAGGAGCAGAGTTTTCTCTCAATCCAAGATCTGTCCATCCTATGGTCTAAACACTCACCCATCTCGCAGGTATTTAATGCAGGCCTACAGGAGCCAACTACTGCCCTGGGGATAACCAGGGAGAGACCAATAACCAAGGAGGATGCAGTCTTCTCAAGCTTCTGGTGATTCCTAAGAACAAAGCTTTGTCCTTCTAACAGGGCTTTGCTGCAAACACACAGTCCTCATTTCCTACCCTTGTAAGCCCCTAAATGGACTCGGCTCTGGGCTCCATCCCTGAAAGGCTTCTCAGCCACTCTGTCCTTCCTCAGTGGCTCCTCTGCCCCCTCCTTGCCTAGGACCTCAGCCCTTCCTGCTGGGCCAACTCCAGTAGCTTCCTTCCTGGTCCCCCGGCTTCTCTGGTGACTGGCGTTCTCTCTCCAACACTGGGACGGGACAGTCAGGGCTCCCTGAGGTCTGACTCTCACCAAATTCTCCAGGCAGGTCTTCTACCCCTCTCCCCGCATCCCTCCCCTCCCGAGGCTCGTTTCCGCTCAAACACTGCTCTGGGCACCCTTCCACGCCTTTGCACACACCATTTCCTTCACCTGGAATACTCTTTCTCTACTTCCCCATCCGAGGGACTGCTTTCCCTTCAAGATCCAGTTTAAATGTCATCTTCTTCGTGCTAACACCCCTCCTCCTCCAAGCCCCCAGAGCCCTTGGTAAACTCCCAGAAACCAGCCAGAAGGATCTAGAGGCAGAGCCGTGCCAGGGGTGGGTCTGCAGGACTGACGGAGGAGCAGACTGCACAGGGAGCTGCCTTTCAACTCCCTTCTCATCATCTTCACCTCTGCAGGTCAGTAAGTCACCTTAATTAACATTGAGAAGGCTGCTGGGGGTGCGGGGGGGGAATGCGCCCAGGCTACTGCTCCTCTGCTCTGCTTGGTTGCATCTGTGCAGCTCTCCACTGCCTCTGGGAAGCTGCATTCCCTGTATCTTAGGCCTCCCGTGTCCCCAGGGCCTGGCCACTCAGGTGGGAGAAAAACCCAGATCTTCACAAAAATCCAGGAGGCAAAAGAAGTGTTGCTATTCCCATCATGCAGACGAGGGAAAGGTACAGAGTTCATGGCACTTGCTCATGGAAACAACACCAGAACTGGGTCAGGTGGGCCCCCCCCGCTTCTGTTCAACCACAGCGCTAGCCGGGGAGGCAGTGACCTCTCATGGGCTGCCTCAGCCCAAGAGGTGTGCCCCGGCGTGTATGCAGCGCATTGAGAGGGTTCTGAGATGGATGGTGTAGGGTCCAGAACATGTCACCCCAGAAAAGGCCACTTTGGCATATTGATTATTTTGAATTAAAGGTTTTTGAGAAACAGCCGGAGCAGGAAGAACACTCTGACCCTCCCCTGACCCCCTGAAAGCAGGAGGTGAATCTCCCAGGAGGGTAGAACGCCTGCGTGAGCAGGGACGGGAATTCCTGCCAGAAAGGCTGTGTAAACAAACCGTAAGTGGTTACTTCTTTACCATTTTACGAACCCCAGCCCAAACCCCTTTGTCTCGTGAATTCTTCCCGAATTTACTGTTTCTTTGTCTAAAAGATACAACGCTTCCTGCTCTGGTCACCTCTTTGAGTCCCACATCTTTGTGGGGTTCCTAGGTGTACACATGTGGGTATGAAATTGTTTGTTTTTCTCCTGTTAATCTGTTTTATGTCAATTTAATTGCTAGACCAGCTACAGAACCTAGAAGGAAAGTCTTTCCTCCACTAGAGGGAGACGGATGCAGGGCTGCCCTCACTCCCTAAGGACCTATCGGCCAGAAGGCTTCTCCCGAGAGACACTTCACAGGCAATCATGAGATGAGAGTGTTGGAGATCTCACTTTGAAATTAAGACTGAACTTGTGTAATGTCAGCTATGATCTATTCCCTAAAGCAAGATGGTGTCAGTAAAGAGTCCAGGAAAAGGGGAGCTGAAGGATAAACTCTGACTGGGAGAAGGGTGCTCTGTCTGAGCCCCCACGGGGCCGTGTGCCTAGGCCAGGTGGGCCTCTGTCCCCGCTGTCAGAGCCGCGGCACTCCGCCCTCCAGTGGGACGCAGCTCACCTCTTCGTTCACTCAGCAGACACTCGCCCAGGACCTGCTCAGTGCTGGAAGCTGCGTTCAGGCCAGGGGACTACGAAGGCTGCACCCTCAGTGCTCACACTCTAGTGCAGGGGACTGATGGCGAATGCCACGTCACCTGCAGAAACTGCTCTGGGCTGTCCGCCGGCGAGCTGGCCGGGCCTTGCAGCAGACCTGGGGGAGGGGCTATCAGCTCTAGCACTAACTGGCCCCCAGTGACCCTGCACCTGGTGAGTTGGCTGTTTTTGCTGGTTCCTCGTGGCTTGTTGTCACTTCCCGGGGGCCAAGTTTCAGAGCTGACTTTTCTAATCTCTGCTTCCAATCCACTGTAAGCTGGGAAGAACTAAAAGTCACCAGTGGGAACAAAGCTAGCTGAGGTGCCCGGGTCTCTGCTTAGATGTGGCCTTCCCATGGAGTCTTCTCTGACCTCCGTCCTTAACATCACACCCCCTAACCCCTTTCCCTGCTTCCTTTTCCTCCAAAGCACCTAGCATTTAACATGCTAAGTTTGGCTCTTTTTAATTAGGTTATCATGTCACCAGGCAGAATGTAAACTCCACGAAGGGAGGGCTTTTTGTCTGTTTCCTTCACCGCTGCGGTCCGATGCACAGCAGGTCTCTGTAAGTCAGTGTTAAACAAATGCACTTAGCAAGGCTGAACTTCACACATAACAAAGGCACGTGCCACAGCGGAGAACGTGGGATCTGACATTGGACAGACCCGAGCTCGAATCCCATCCCCGCTCTTAGCAACAGGTACGCTTTGACAAGTCACCTCCCCTTCTGAATACTAGTTTTCTCATGTGTAAGGTGAGCATCGTAAGCTGACCTGCATCATGAGATTGCGGTGGAGTTCAAATACACAGTGCACGTGAAGACACGGTGCAAAGTGTAAAGTGCTGTACACGAGTAACATCCTCTTGGGGAACAGCTCTCCAGGAGAAGGTACTTACTGTTCTGGGGAGTTTATATCTTCTATAGGCTCTTTGCATGTTCGAGAGGGCTCTGTCGTGTTCCACTGTAGCTGGGGATTTTGGTCGAGGTGATTTTTTAAAATGGCCTTTCCCCCATCTGAACACAAAACAACAACATCACAACACATTCTGTTAACTTAATTTTTAAAAATCAACAATGTAATCTTTTTTTTAGGATGCTGCTCAAGAAGAGAGAATGCAAAAGAGCCCATGCCCCCTGGGTGTTCTCCCGGAACCCAGACCAGGAGCTGGGAAGCCTGGCCCGGAATGGAAGGGGTGTGCCGGGATGTGCACGCCATGCCCTGTGACCTCCAAGAAAAAAGAGGGGAAATCAATGCAGGCAACAGAACTTTGAAATGAGAGGTTCGAATCTGAAGGCCCTTTTCACTGGTGCATAAGGATGTAATGACAAAGAAAAGAATCTTCCAAGATATATTTTCCATAAGATTTCAAGAATTGAAAAGAATAGTAACAGTAAACTGCTGGTGGGAGTATAAATTGGCATAATCTTTTTGGGGGTCACTGTCAGTAAGCATTGAACACTATGGAAAGTGCCTATCTTTTACTGAGAATTTCCACTTCTGGCAATTACCCTAAGGAAATAATTAAGGACGTGTGTGAAGACATGTACAGATTGTTCAAATCAGCGTGGTTTACAATTCCAAAAAGTTGGACTAACTCGAATCTGTCCAGTAATAACAGATTAGTGACACCATGATCCACATGTGGGGGCCTCCCTTCGAGGGAGCCCCGAGCGGCCACGGGCCCGGAGGATGCAGCCACCCCCAGCCCTCCCTGCGCTTCAGACCCACCTGGGAGGTTCAAAGAAACGCAAAATATGAAAACCTGGCCCCACCTGAGGGAGCTGGATTCATTTGGCTTGGAGAGGAGCACTGGGGTCTTTTTGCTGGTTTTTTTTGCTCCATGGGGCGACCTTACAGGTATGCCATTTTGTCCCCATGTGACTACAGTCGCTTCTCCTTATTCACGAATTCTGTATCTGTGAACTCGCCTACTTGCTAAAATTTATTTGCAACCCCAAAATCAACACTCGCAATGCTTTCATGGTCATTTTCTGACACACCCGGAGCACTGAAAAATTTGAGTCCCGCTACGTGCACATGCCCAGCTGAGGCGGAACAAGGCTCTGCCTTCTTGTTTCAGCTCCTACTGTAAATAAGTGTCCTTTTTGTGGTCTATTAAGTGCCACTTTTTTCACATTTTTGGGCCTTGTGTTGGTGATTTTGCTGTTTAAAATGGCCCCACTGTGGTGCCAAAGCGCTGCCCAGTGTTCCTACGCTGTGATGTGCCTGACGGAGAAAATACGTGTGTGAGACGAACTTTGCTCAGGCATCAGGTATACTGCTGCTGGCAGCGAGCTTAACATTAACGAATCAACAAGATATATTAAATAAGGTGTCTTCAAACAGAAACGCACAGAAAACAAAGTTATGTATTGATCAGCTGACAAAAATGTCAACCTGCGAGAGGCCGGCGGGAACCTCACCCTGTCTCTGCGCTGGGAGCCATGGGTCAGGGTACACGAATTCACGGTCACAGCGCCTTTATAAAGCAAAATGACCACGGACAACGAGAGTCAACTATGCATCCTTAGGAGTAACTCCCAAAGTGGGACCACTGGGTCAGAACAATTTCTATGTCAACCAGCAGTGTTTGAGAACGCCCATTTCCTCGAACGCTCGGCAACTTTTTAATCTCCAATCTCTTACAGGTGAAAATGGCATCTCACTGCAGATCTAGTTTACATTCCTTCACAAAGGAGCAAGACTGAGCATCTTTTCTTAAGCCTAAGAACCACTTGTATCTCCTTTTATGAGAACTCTCTTTTGCCCATTTTTCTTTTGGGTAGTGAGTCTTTTTCTCATTAATTGGCATATCATTATATATACTTCGTATATAAAATCCTCCTTATATATAAGGGAATAAGCTTGTCGCCTGAGTTACAATATTTTTTGGCTTACTTTGTTGTTTGATTTTTGGACTGTTAAATAATTTGTTAAAAGTTTTTCTTTTGTAGTTCCAGTTATCAATATTTTCTTCTGTGGTTTCTGTGTTTTGCATCAAACTGAAAAAGGCTTCTCCCACTCTGAGATTATAAAATAAATTCTACGCTGTCTTCTAGTACTTTCATGGTTTCACCCTTTATATTTAAATCTTTTATCCATCTGGAATTTATTTTTGTGTTACGTGTGAGGTAAGGATCTAACTTTATTCTTTTCCAGATGGCTACCCATTTATCCCAATGAAATTTGTTGAATAATTCATTTGCCCCCAATGGTTTGAAATGCCCACCTTTACCAGGTACTAAAATTACTAGAAATAATTTTTATTCTTTCAATTTCCTTGTTACTTATCTCAATTTAAATATTTTTTTTACAATCAATATCTTTAAGTTTATAATATTGCTTTTATAATAAGAATACTTATTACTTATGTAATAAGAATAAAAGAAACTAAATATTTTTCATTGACTTAAAAATAATTTTATAACAAATTAATGAATATATGCTAAGGATAAAATGCAAGCAATTGAGAGAAGCATAAAACGAAATGTAAAAGAACCACCCTCTGCACATACTGGTCCCTTCCACACACGTGGAGACTGTTAACAATTTGATGTTTCTTCTTCCAAATCGTTTAAAAAATGTACTCACAGACACACACACAGACACACACACACACACATTTATATGTCTCATAATGCTGGTCTTCATCTTGTTTTTCTCACTTGGAGGTCTGGCCATAGCTGCACAAATAGATCCACTTCACTTTGTAATGTATTGCCTGCCTTGTTTGGTTGTGTCATGATTAATGAAACCATCCCAAATGATGAGCGTTTACGTTACTTCCAGTTTTTCTCGCCCACATGTAGTGTTGTGAAGGGCATGTGTGTGTCTACGTCTTTGCCCGGGTGGGAGTATGTCCAGGGGCAGGTTCCTGTGAGTGGAAGTGCCAGGTCAAGGGATTTAACATCTGCCATTTGGAGAGTGCCAGACCGACTTCCAAAACACCGCAGGAGAATGCCCATTTCTACACAGTCTTACCAACTCTGGGTCTTTTAAAATTTTGCTGAAATGTAGGCAAAAGATGGTTTGTGTTGTTTTGGCCTGCATTTCCCAGGGGCTGGGAAGACCGAGTGTCACGTCATATCTTACTGACCATTCCTTTCCTGTACACGGACGAGGTGCGTTAGAAACTGTGCAATGTTGTTGAGAGAAGCACAGGTAAACCACACCCTAAGAACAACCCTGGAAATGCTGGTGCACTGTCTACCAGTGCGACTGGAACCCAGGGGACCCAGAAACAGAAATCCCAGCTCTAGGCACCAAATGGACACTGAACTGCGGTCAGAGACGTGGGTTCTAGATGCTCCCGTTCTGCTTGGTGACTTCAGACCAGCCCCGCCCCGTCTCTGAGCCCCAGCTTCTTCATCTGTAAAATGGAAGATGGACGGCTGGTGTCTGGTATCCAGGTCCCCCGTCCCAGGCCCCACCTCCTCCTACCTGTGCTCTCGGTGAAGTTCCCTAGGCTGAGGATGTCGTTGAGCTCTTGGTAGTGGTTCTGTTTAATGTAGGTGGTCTTCTCTGGTGTGTCCTGCAGCTGCATGGTGACCTCTTCCAAGTCTTTATCCAGCTAGAAGACAAAGGCTCCAGCTGAGTCACAGCCCCCAGCCCAGCCCCTGCCCCTGTCCTGGCCACCAGGCCCTGAGAGCCAGGCAGCGGCTCCTAGGTCACAGGGCGGGGCCTCAGCCTGGCTTTGGGAGGGCATCGAGAGCCAGAGGGGCTGCTGCACGTTGGAAAGAGACACAGAGGGCCCTGCGGCTCCTGTTCCAGGAGAAGCCATGATGAGAGGGCCCGGGGCTTTGCAGTGATGTGTTCAGAGCAGGCTGGAGCCTTGAGGGAGCAGCCCAGCAAGCCCAGAGAGACAGGGTGGGAGGGGGTCAGAGCGCAGGCTGTGAGGCTGGACAGGCCTGGGGCAAACCCAGGGCCGCCCCTTCCTGGCTGCGCGCTGGGAACTGAGTCTCAGCTCCTTCGTCTGTAGCACCGTGTAACAACAGTCCCTGCCTCACGGGGTGGTTGTAGAGATTAGATGAGACAACACAGGGAAAGTTTAGCCCAGTGCCGGACACCCAAGGGGAACCTGCTGCCACAATATCACTACCATAATTATTATCGAGACCTGGCAGGAGGGTCTAGAGGGAGGGTGGGTCTGCAGGCCAGCTCTGAGCCCCACATGGTCCCAGCATGGGCTTCTCTGGAGGGGATAATCAGGATGGAGCCCAGGGCCCCCAGGTTACATAAAAATCAGGTGCTAGCCCTGGGGCACTTCAACCCCAGAGAAGTCTGGGGAATGTGTGTGTGTTGGGGGATGGGAAGTGGTTGGGGAGGGTAGTGGGCATCCTGCTACAGTATAAGGGAGGGGAATTCACAAACTGTAAAGTGCTGTTCCGATGTCAAGAGCACAGCCATTAAATTGTTTAATAAGTTTTCACGTGGAGGAGGAGATACCCTTTTCCGTGTGACTCAAACAGCATGGCTAGGATCAAAGGAAGCCAGATTGTGACTCAATTCCAGGAAAAACAGCCCAACATTTTAGGGGTTTTGACAGTGGCTTGGGCTTCAAGCTCCCTAAAGTAAGTGAACCCTTCATCACTGGAGTGTGCAAGCTGACGTCAAATGTCACAGCACAGGGGTGTGGTAGCTCTCGTCACAGAGAAGTCTCATACTCAGACAGAATCAGCAACGGGCTCTGAGGAACGGAAACTCTGCTCCAGGGGAAAGGCAGGGCTGTGCCTTCCTGCAGCATCGGCTTTAGGGGCACAGACAACTGTGCGGTGCATCTTCGTGGCAGATGACTGTGAGCCCGCAAAAGGCTGCCAGATCAAGCAAATAAAAATACAGAACGTCTAGGCACATTTGAATTTCAGATAACAACGAATCATGTTTCAGTATAAATATATCCCAAATATTGAATGAGACTTACCCATACTAAAAATACGATTGGTTGTCTGAAATTCAAATTTAACTGGGTGCCCCGTATCTAATCAGGCAATCCCAAGTCACACGCCTTCCCTGACTGTCCAGCGAGACACAACATTTCCCAGCCTCCCTGTGGCTTAGTGGGATTGTGTAAGTTCTTGCCAATGTAACTGGAGTAGAACCAAAATGTGTGCAATTCTGTATCATTTGCTTAAAAGGCAATCAATCCCTTGCGTGGACTTCCTCTCTCTTCCCCTCCTGAGACTGAGAATGGGACATGCCTTCCACCGAGCTTGAACCGTCCTGGTGAGTGAAACACCTTGTGGAGTGGCAGACAACAAGCGGGAGGGAACCTCATCTAGTGATGACCTTGCGGAGCAGAACTGCCCGCCAACCTGGACCTCTCTCCTCTGGACCGTTACGTGAAAGAGAAATAACGTACGTTTTCTTTGGGCCACATTATTTTGGGGCCTCTTTGTTACAGCAACTTAGCCAGTCTCTTAACCAACAAACTTTCCTTTCTTCCTTTGCTGTCCCACTCACCGAATCAGAAGTCCTCTATCAAAGACACAGCCCACAGACCAGGGGCGCGGCCACATCCCGGCCCAAAGGGAGGGCTGGAGAGGGCAAGGTAATTTGGTTTCCCCTTTCTTGTATAGAAAGTCCAGAATTTAGGGTCTGGCTTGGGTACAGAGCAATCTGGTTATGGCCTCTGGAATATTCCTGAACCAGTTACGGATGTTCAGGACGAAGGTGAGGTCTGTTGCAGCAAACAGCCCCTCCTGAACAGCCTCTCTTCACTTCCTCCTCACTTGCACTCCATCATATAGATGTGGGTGGTTACTGGGCTGTGTTGGGAGAGTGAAAAACGGAAAGAGGGCCCCACACTCAGGAAGCTACCAGAGTCTGGGAGCTCACACATCCCTAAGATCGCCTTTCGTTCTGAGGATGTCTTGCATCGGGGCATTGCTGGACTCCAGGAGCCAGGCCAGGTGGGCAGTAACTCCTGTCATTTCTGACACCCGTCCCTCTCTCGCTCACGTTGTTCCTGGTCCCTGCAGCCGTAACCTCGGCAGGTGGGCCTGCATGGCCGGGACGCAGGGCTGACGTGGAGGAGATGTGGGGGAGGGCAGCTCTGAGAGTCCCTGCACCCAGCAGAGGGACTCAGACGGGAGGACGGGGCCCTGGCCACCGGTGCTGTGGGAGGTACCTCTGTGATCTTCATTCGCAGGCGATGGTTCTCCGACTGCAGGCCCTCCAGGCGGGATGTGCTTGCTTGGTTCACGCTGGTGACCGAGGTGGATGTTTTAGAATCTTCTTTCTTCTGATTCTGAGTGAACTGGAATCGCCTGTTCTGAGTTGCTGCATCTGGGTTTGTTCTCAGAGTGATGAGCTGAAAGGACAAAGGTGGGGTTGAAAAGAGAAGCCTGGCGCCCTCCCTCCCACCCCCCCTCCAGCCCCTCCCAGCAGGTCCTGCACTGGAGGCAACCTGGGCCCCCAGGAAGGACTCAGGCCCGGAGTGCGGGGATCTGGGCCCAGGCTTGTCTCTGCCACTCACTTCTGTGTGACCTTGGGCGGGCTCCTGCCCCTCACTGAGTCTCAGTTTCCTTCCTTGTCAGTAGCAGTCTGGTCTCTTGACCCTGATTCTGCCCACATCCCCAACATGCTTCGAGGCCCACCCGGGCCCCTCATGCCTGGCTCCAGCGAGTGTCACTCTGCCTGAGATCTTGCTCAGTGGAAGACACACCCTGAAGGTGACAGCTGTGAGGACAATTGGGTGGACAAAGATGAAGGCTTTTTCTTGTGAGGACCACTGGTGAGTTTAGGGGCAGATTGGCGACCAGCTGTGTCACTGACAAAGGCATTTTTATATGAAAGAAAATGTTGTCACTTGACCTGATCTTACTCATTTGTTCAAGAAGCATCTCTGGTTCTGGGCAGGCTCTGGGCTCATGACTGGAGAGCAGGGGCTGCGGGAGCCATGGCCCCTGCCCACCAGGACTTCATGGTTCAGAGTGGGGGCGGAGGGAGGGCAGGACTCAGACGCTCACCAGGCCAGAGTACCCCTGACGGGGCCATGGGCTAGGCTTTCTGGAGGGTCTGGGAGGACGGTGAGGGTGGGGGCATGCCGGGGGAAGAAAGGGC